CCTTTAGCCTCAGTTTGCTGTGGTGAAGAGCACTGGGGAGTGAGTGACCCGTTTGCTGTGTGTGTGGTTTGGTTTGACTGCACCTGGTGAGTATTTGGTAGCACCCTAGTTTCACTCAACGTAGCCTGCCAGCCTTTTTACTGCCTCACCTTTTAGTTTATTTTCCTACACGTTCCTAAACTTTTAATATCACATTTGAAACATTACATTACATTCCGTAATAAAGATAATTTTAACTGAATATTTCTTGCAGCAACATTTCATGAGTTTCCTCTTTTTTGATTACAATGAATGAAAACGACCTTATTTTGAAACGTGTCTCTGCCTCTCAGTTAACAAACCTGCGTGTCCTGATTGCTTTTGAAGTCAAGGGTTTTGGTAAAAGGTAAAGCATTGACTTGACCTTGGGCGATTCCATATTTTGCTGACGGATTTAGATGAGAATCCAAAGTTAGGGTTCGGAATATGGATGAATAAACATTTCAGGATTACATATTTTGAGTGTAAGCAGAGTTGCTAGAGAGATATTAGTTGGTCCTACTGGGGGGTTTTCATGGCCCCCCGACAGTTTAAAACATTTTTTTTAATATAATTTAATTAGACTCTTCAGGAAGGCTAAGCAGAAGTTGATTTAAATGTATGTTGCTGATTTTATTAACACAAATGAAGGGCTAATTGACTGTTAATCCTTATTATTTAGTCCACACCAAGTGGTTGTTAGTAGTTTACTCGCTCAAGTCAAAAAGTCTCGCCCCTCATCGTGTCAGTTTCCATTTCTCTTGGTGCTATCAACACTTATTTCTGGCATGCTCCCTCTGTCCCCCTGTCTATCTCTCCCCACATCTTTCTCACTGATTGCTCTCCCTCTAGTTGCCTCCCAGGCCTGCACCTCTCCTCTCTCGCTCCTCTAATGAGAGCGTGTGTTACACAGGCATTCAGAGAACCTCCTCTGCTAATTACATGACAAGCATCTCGTTCTGGAACGCTAATGAAGAGGAAGTGTGTGTGTGTGTGTGTTGTGTGTGTGTGTTGTGTGTGTGTGTGTGTGTGTGTGTGTGTGTGTGTGTGTGTATGTTGTGTGTGTGTGTGTGTGTGTGTGTGTGTGTGTGTGTGTGTGTGTGTGTGTGTGTGTGTGTGTGTGTGTGTGTGTTGTGTGTGTGTGTGTGTGTGTGTGTGTGTGTTGGGGTCAAGCTGGCCACTGGTGTGTGTTGGGTGGGAGTATTCTGGCACCAGTCCAGAAGCTTATCAACCGGGGCATGTTGGACTCAGCATCTCGTTCTCTCCCTCCCTCCTAGTCCTGATTTTTCCTTTCAACTAACTACACACATAATTTTTTTTCCCCTCATAAAAGATCAGCATAAAGGCATTATTTTGCCAAGCAACATTAATGTTACACTTATTTAAGATGGTTTAAAAAGAACACTTGTTCTCTCAGTCTTTGAAGAAATAAATAAAATCCCTGATCTTGGTGTGTTGTGTTGGCTTTTTGCATCAAAAGCTAAATATGAAGTGTTGGTTTCAATAGCCTAAATCAGTTGGTCATGGGCAGGCTGTTAATTAAACTCAACATTTACTTACAAAGGCTCCAGTATATGCGCACACAGAGCCTACAGATAAACCCACAGACGGAGAAAAGAAAAGAAAGACAGCGACCTAGGCAGAAATCCAACAACTCAGCGTGTGGTTTGGAGGAACTCGTTCTTTCAAGAGGAACACTCGGAACAGAAGATTGCTGTCCCGTACCATCCCTTGTGAAACGCTTGAGAAACACAGACCATCTGGAGGCTATAGTGCGCACTCTCGACCCATCAAATATTGAGGATGTTTGTCTGACTTACAGGGCCTATTTAGGACTGTTTGGACAACTTGGCTGAAGGATTTCTGCTTTAATTAAAGATAATATCAAAAGCTAATATTGCCCCCAAGACCTTTGCCTCACAGTCAACAGTGCAACAAAGTCACGGTTCTGTGGGGTGAGGGTGAGAGTCTTAACCACTTCTAAATGAATATAGTCAGACTTGACACAAAGGCCTCTCCATGTTCTTTATTTCACTGAGGTTCCTGCCCCCATATTCCCCCCTTTCTCTCTGCCGATGCCAATAGCAACGCAGGCTTTTTGAGGGCCAAGCCCACTGTGGTGATGGCATATTGATACTGTCATAAAATATTACATCCTCACTTTATTCATTAGGACTTGTCTTTAATCTAAAAATATCACGGGCATGGAATAAAACAGAGTTTTCAGCGGCACATAGATTAGGCCTGTGCGTCTCTCACTGAGCGCCACAGCTCGGAAACACTGAGGCCCAAAATAGATGTTCTTCTCATAAAGGGCTCCTTCTTTGTAGTCAGCATACAGCAACAACATCTGCAGGGCAGTTTCTATGGGGGGAACAGATTCGGGCAGGCTATCAAAGAGAGAGGCGATCTCCTGTGAGAAGCGGTGGGCGGAGGACTTCCATATTCTCCCTCTCTTTTCTTTTTTTGTTCTATCTCTTGCTCTTTCTTTCTTCCAAAAATCTGTAGCAATCAGAATGATGCTAATAAAAGACCATTAATATCACCTGTCAGCGCTATCTTTGGAAGATCCAAAATGAGAAAATGAGACAAAAGGATTCACAGTCTGGAGCTGCTCACGAGAACACAGGAAACCAGTGGAAGACAGACAGCAGTGTGGTTAGGTGTTCTGAATTAAATAAAGAAATGGATGACAGAAATCAATCAATGTCCCAAATATGAGAGATACAGGACTGTCCCATTTATGATGTCTCAAATACAAAACATTTGGGTTGTTGAATTAATGTCTCAATGTATCTTTTTGTTCCAGTTGATGTTCCGCAGAGTATAGTGAGATTGTCACTTCTGAACAGATGGTAATCATAAGTTATATGACCTCTACTTGACTCCAGAGACTGTATCTTTCAAGGTAGAGAATGAACGTGTCACGAGAACCTTTCTTTCACATGTTAGAGTTTAACTATATGGTCAAGATCTCAAACTCCTTGTTTTAGGTGAGGAATTTGGCATTGAGGGCTGTACTTTATGTTAAAATAGAAGTTTAGAGGATATTTTTGTTTGAACATTATTTGAATTTGTTGGAAATTCAGTTGGAAATGGACCCACATTGGTTTAATCAAAATCTGATCTAGATTCAAGAACACTGTAAAACTTTACTAAGCGCATGATGTTGAGGGCCATAAACCCCTGCAGGTCTTTTGACTAATGGCTTTTACTGCCGGTGATGGCAGGGCGTTCACTATCTGTTTAATGCAAAACATGAGCACAAACCGGAGCATAGATAGAGGCTCTGATCGGAAAAAGGTGGTATCATAATGGGGAGGTGAAAGGTGAGGGGGCAACACGATGATAGTGGCTTCATGCGGAGCAGAAGTGCATCGGGAGCCTCGCCTTTGAACTGGTGAGCCAGCTAATTGAAACAGCATTGGCGGGGCACCGGCTGAAGATCTGGATCGCATTCATCCCCGCTTTTATTCAATTTTAGTCCCATCGCAGGGCCGAGGCTCCGTGCTTTTCTCTCCACATGGCAATAAGTCATACCCCTCGCCTTTTGCCCTCGACGTGTTGCCCATCTGTGTCCCCTGGGGGCCCGGGGCTCTGAGGCCCACAGAAAAGCAGAGGGATACAGCCGAGCTCTTGAGAAAATGCAGGCTGCCTGCCACTGAGCCCCTTATGGTACTTCTTCACGCCTATCACCTTGGACTTGACCCCCCCCATCCTCAACCTCAACTCTTCACTATCACACACACACACCTTCTTACCACAATACTTTTAAGATTTACTGTTAAGAGCAGTGGCTGTCAGGAGGATTGAACCGTGCACTTTCTAATTCAAACAAATGCTGCACTTGGGTCACGGAATTATCGTGGAGTCACAAGGTGTTTCAGATGACTCGCAAGTGTTGAGTGTTAAGCTGATAGAAGGAGCGGGAGACTGCGCTTGGGTTGCAATGCAGCAGAGAGCTTGCAACCTCGCAGCATGGAAAAAAATAAACAAATATAGCGATAAATAAGCAAATAGATAAACCTTCACTATCACCAACCTCTATCAGAGCAGGTGGATGTAGATCTATTGTTGTACAGGAGAAACTTCTCATTTCGCAGAAGACTGGTCAACAGTTCTGCTACAGCTTTAATCAGTGTCCCACATGCACTGGCTGATGGTCGGGCTCAGGAACGAGCTGGAGGATGATATGATAGTCAGTGATGTACAGAAAATAAATATTCAAGAAGCAGATGCTTCTCAGGTGCACTCTGGCAAGACCTGAAACAAATTGATTTGACGGCAACACGTCTTCAAATGGTTCTTTTAGCCTGGTTTGATGCCAGATTTTAAAGATTCACCATGCAGGGACAATATGCCAGGAGAAATGTAGCAACATATTTTCAATAGAGGACACCGAAAAACATACTGATGTCTAAAAATGGCTAAATGTTGTTTAAAACAAACCTCTAGCTGATGTGACACATATAGGTGACACACATACAGTACTGTACATGCACAGATGTTGTTTTTTTGTTTTTTTTAAGATGACAACATGACAGGAAGATCAGCCATTGTCATTATCATCGCACCCCCTTCTCTGTGTGATGTTTTCCTGCCTCTTTCCTGCTATTTTCCCCAGGACGACTATGTGAGAGGAAAACAATCAACCAAGTAAACAAACGTAATTCATATTTAGCTTCAACGAAAATAAGCCACAGAAATGGATGAGAGATTATAAATCTGGTGATAGTCCGTCAGCACTTCCAACCTGACTTGATATTGGATAAATATTCACCCACAGGATAGACAGGGAAAATCACACTAAATTGACCATCAGAGACTCTCTACAAGTTTACACCTGTACTGTGAAGTCCAAAGACAACACACAGAGGGGAAGAGAATTTGGAGAGGATCACCGTGCGATTGAGGGAGGGACTAAACGTGTGCATAATATTCCTTCCTCTGTAGGACTCGCTGCGAGCAGGTACAGCATCTCTGCAGTCCACCGCTCAGCTGTCACACTCAGCTGCCCGCGCGTCCACTCCACAGGAAACTTCTCACACCGCAGTCGGTAAGTGCAAAGTTTTATATTACCGCAATTAACTGCACATGAGCTGATAGCTTACATCGGTGCTCGGAGCTCCTTTTCACGCATTAGGGTGAAAGTGTGTGGGGCTTTAAAGTTTCTGTTTCTCCCGATAGGAATTCTCTTGCACCGTGTCTTCTTAATTAAGATGCGCTCTTTAATCTCGGTTTATTATTGTGACGTCGCAGTAGCACTCAAAACGCAAAGTAAGTTGCATGAACATTTTTGTATGTTTTTAAAAACAACTTTTCGCCATTTTCCTCTTATTTCCTACACTTTGTGGGCTTTAACTGCATTCAAAAATCGCTCACAACATACACTGTATCTATTTATATAGCCTATACAAAAATGGAGATTGGGTTAATATGAATGCTTAACTCTTATTTAGCATTGGTTGTTATGTTTTTTTACATGCCAATTCAATGAAATGTAAGTAAAGCCTAAAGGTGGTGCATGCATTTGAATGACATAACTGATTTGCACATTATTCACTTTTTGTATGGGTACTTTTTTTTCTGAAACAAGCGCATCTGAGTCTTTTTGAGCTGATGAACATCTGCAAGCATTGAGCAGTGGCACATCTTGCCTCAGTCTGTCAGCAGCTGCCTCAAACTAAATATGCCAAATTGCTTAACATATGAATGTGAGGAGGATGGGACCTGCCACTGCCCATGTACACCATTCCTCCTCTAATGTAAGCCCTCAGCTCAGTTTCCAGTCTCTTTTGTTGATGCTGCTTCAAGTCAACAATGTTAAGTGATAAGCAAAGTGTGTGGGAGGGGAGGAAGGAGAGGAAGAGGAAGGAGAAGAGGAGGAGAGAGAGGAGGAGGAAGAGGTGAGGCAGATCAGGGGAGAAGAGAGTGATAGAGAAGAGATGGATTAAGTTAACAAGCCTCTGGAATGATGGATTTGTTTAAATGGAAATACCTTCTTTTCCCCATAAAAATGTGCAGTATTTGATTCTAAATAAATACATACAGTATGATACTCCTTAACCATTTAAACTAAATTAGATAAAGATTGGATGGGATGACTTGTTTTAAGAAAAAGCCCATAACCTTCCGAACTTTGGAACTGATGTTACAGACTTGAATCCCAGCTCAAATGTCTCACTCTTTCCTTTATTTCTTTTTTTGCCCCTCATTCCTCTCTCACACACCTCCATATACACACACACACACACACACACACACACACACACACACACACACACACACACACACACACACACACACACACACACACACACACACACACATAGTATATACCACACACACACACACACATAGTATATACCACACACAGACAAATCTTGCACACCAAGTGTAAACAGCTTGTGATAGATAGGAGGACTCCACACGGCCCCGTCTGTTTGCGTGTTGATCCCTTCAGCAGACCCTGCTTCTCCTGTCCGCAGCGTCCACCATGAGTTACTACATGGATCCAGTTTCTTCCTACCCGGCCCTTCACCCCTGTGACCGTCTGGGCGCAATGGTAAGACCCCCCCCTCATAAATTACCTCTGTGTTAAGGCTTCCTCAGCTACCTACCACGCAGCCGGCCGGGAGTGTGTGAGGGAATGAGCATTTGTGTGTGTTAGCTGGAATGTGTGCAGCAGCAGATGAGCACCGTTTGCAACTCTGGATTCCATCACCTCACAGGAACACAGTCTATCTGAGAATTGTTCCTGTTGAGTGGAGTCCAGCAGAGTTGCGCTAATAGTGCCTGTATGTGTACAGTACATGCTGTTCTTTATAATTTTTTCAAAAGTTAGGAAACAGAGCTGTTGAACAACACGAGGCTGTGAAATCACCCTTATGAACTCCTCTGTGTTGCACAACCACCCTGCGGCAAGATGCACTTCTTCTTTAGCAAGTAATATTGTAAATATTGAGACCTGTAGGCCTCCAACCTTGCCACTAACAAATCAAATTGGAGTCAGACCATCCCCAATGAATAACACTTTTCTCAGCCACCCGCACAGCGCTTTGCAGCAGTCTGTTTGCAAGAACACCAAGGCTGTTAACGCTTTCCAAATGAGAGAGCTGAAGACAGAGTCAGAGACGATGCTAGCCGGGAACATTGGGATTCCTGTCAGATGAGCATTTGAAGGGTGAAGGCCAAGGAGCGTCAAAATAAATGCCTCCATTTGTATGCAGAGCGCCGGCACATTAGGATAAGAGACTGAGGTTATATGCAAATGGCAACCCCACCCTGGCCTGATAGAGAGAAGGATACAGCTCCCCGGATCCTAATTGGCTCAGGTGGTGGGGCTTGCCTTTGAAATTGAGACTATGTATACCAGGGCAGACTTGGCTAAAAGGTGAACCAGGATCACCTCGGTAGCTCTATTTTGTTGAATTTACATGAATTATCAGCAAACAGCAGCAGGGCATGGTGTGTTTTATTTCTTATGTTTACACTTTAGTGATTTACTGTGTCTGATATGTTTCAAAAAGATTGTATGCAGAGAGCGGTAAAGGGAAAATAGGGCTTTCAAGCAGCCAGTTAAAATACTAGAAGCTGCTTGACTGTAAAGGATATATTTGAAATCATATAACACAGATTTAGGCTATAGAACATGTAAAATAAGCAGAACAGCTTCACGGCCCTACGGCAGTGTATACCAGACGCTAAGGAAGTAGTACATTAAGATTTCAGGCATTTATGAATCAGCATTGTTTTGCGTCATTACCGACCGCTGTTGCGTAAACGGTCAAGCAATCATAAAATGTGAAACGGGTACTTAAACAAATTTATGTTTTTTAAGTAATGACTCATAATGTCACACCAAACATATTGCAACGGGTTTACTAATATATACTAGATGATAAATAGGAAGGGATTTTCAGTCACAGCAGTAGCCTATTGGTTTTGTTATTTATTACACCTGTGTTTTTCGTTTTAACATGAAAGAGCATTAAATCACATCTGTCCAGTGACCGTGGACAGTGCAATTCCTTCTAAGAACCACTAGAGGTGCAGAGAAACCAAACACATGTTTCAAATAATTAATTATCCTAAATTAAATGTCATAATAGTTCCCATTCACATTCATAAACATGTTGTTTCTACTTTATTTTTATTTTTTTTAATGATTTATTTTCCCATATTGAAAAACTGTTCATACTTTTCTTCTTTATTTACTGTGTTTTCAGTTCTCAAATATCGTGTCTGTTTTATACGCTCCCATACTAATCATAGTATTTGTATGTAAAATTGCTTAAAGCCTAAGCTGAGTTAAGGACCATGCTGGTGTCTGTGCTTTGCCTTTTTCCCATACTACTGGTAGAAACAAATAAACAAATAACATTAAAAAAAGCGAGCCAATAAAATAAATACATAACAATGAGTGACAGATGAATAAAGGCGAGATATATGTCTTCAAAAATGTCAATGTTTATTTGTGGACTGGAACATATCAAAAAATAATGTTTATAGAATGTGTTAAGTATTATTTATACTTTGACGTATGTCAGAATGATCTCTGCATTTAAAGTTACTTGCACTTGCACTGATCAAAAAGTATTATTGTGTTGATGTTATCTTCACTCTTATCTGTATCAGTCTCTCTGTCAAATCCATAAATCTTCCATCTGGCTCCCTACACGCCTATCTAACTTTCCCCCCCTTGCTGACTGCACTGATAGGAGAAGGCTGCGTCCCACGCAAACATCTGAAGAGAACCTCATAAAACTGCCGCCCCCCCCCCCCCCCCCCCCCCCCCCCCCCCCCCCAACCCGATCATCTGCTCATGTTTGCCATCCATAAAGCTGGCCGACTACTGATAAATGCCACAGTGCTTAAACTGGGTCGCATATCTGATCGTCAGTCACTCTGTCAGACAGACTGTCAGTTCTACTTATGATGTATAGAATATGACAGTCAAACACCATCTTATTGTAGGCTATATTTGGCAAGGTGAACCATATATTTGACTGTCTTTTTTGCAAATAACAAATATACAATTATAACATTTTTTGTCTTTGAAACTCTTGTAATATGAATAAAAAAGCTGATGGTGAATGTGAAGAATATAACAAAGACTTTATATAAACCCTTAAAACATGGTTTAAAAAAGCTAGTTGACTCTTGTGAGAAAAATGTTAGTCCCCTGTTCTCATCAAACAGAAAGGTCCAACAATATCTATTGAGTTTTTTGTTTCTTGTCAAATAAGGGCTTTGATATGCTAAAAATGGCCAAGTGGCTATCTTCTACCCCACTATCTCTTGTATACACATAGAAGTTCATATCCCTTCTTGCTCCTGTGTCAAGTGCTGACTTTAGACTTCCCTTTTGGTGCAACCTCTTACGTGAACAGTTCTATGATAAGCATGATAAATCAACACGGCAAAAGATAAACTGAATGTGTCAAATTTAGCAGCGAGGGTTATCTGTACAGGAAAACAATGTTTTCAAAATCCAAGGTTACGCTGACGGTCAAAGCCACTGGGTAGTTTGATCAGTTGTTTTTAGCTTAATCTTTTTCTATACATCCCGCTGCCTTTTTTTCATTGGTTAAGAGATAAAAACTAAACATTTCTTTCGTAAAAACACAATGATTTTTTTTCAGCGCAGTAAAACACTGGTATGTTTCACAAGCCCATGCACTGTCAAGTATGATTGATGTGCTTGGAATTTAGATTCAACTTTATTTAACTTTATTTGAGCTTTTCATGCTATAGTTTATTTTATAGCTTGGATTCCATCCAAAGCTCAAATGTTTGATTTAAGTTGAACTGGATCCTTGTCATAACTAAAGTAAGAGTTAGGAAGACACCATCAGTTACTGTCAAAAGCACTTACTGAGCTCATATAACATATTCTGTAACTATACATGTACCCTGTGTTTGTTTTTATTGAGCTAAGAGATGTGCTTACTATAACTCTCATTCATTCATGGTATAAGAGTTTAAGCATTCAAACAAAAATAACAATATAACTTATTATGACTTTCATATGAGCTGTGGAGAATTGCCCTTCAGCTGCATGTTGATTTAAACAAACAAGCAGTATTATACATCTATTTTTGTTTATTAAAGGGGACCTATTATGCAAAATCCACTTTTTCATGTCTTTCATACATCAAAATGTGTCCAAAATTCTGAACATTTCAGGAAAAAAGATTTGCACACTTTTTGTCCTGATCCATTTATATAAAAACCTGTCTGAAAACGAGCTGATCAGATTTTGGCAACTTTATGATGTCATAACGATTTGTTGGCTTGTGTAACCATTAGCCAATAACCAACCAAGGTAACCCCCCCCCCCCCACACCTTATCACCTGAATCTCCTCCTAGAGCACCATTGTGTTCTTTTTAACCAAATATCTCTCAGAAGGGCGTGGGGAGTGACTCCTTATTTTCATCTAAAGTAACAGACAGAGAATCAGCACTTTTGAAACAGGGCTGAAACAGAGGGGTTTATGGGATGCTACAATGATCTGTTTGGTATTTCGAGCCAAACACTTCAGAGACATGTTTTGTATATATCTGAGACCTATAATATATTGATGAAAAATAGTATAATAGGAGACCTTTAAGGCTTATGCATACTTGGTGTTGTTTGTTGCAGAGGCACAGTGGTGGGATGGCAGTGGGCCTTCAGATCCACCCTCCAGGTGTGGTTCATCCCCAGCACCAGTACCACCCATCACAGCCCCTTTACATCCAGGATATCCCCCTGCAGGAGGTGCCCAACGGACACGATATGGGTCCTACAGGTAAGAGATGCACACCGACAGCCTGACCTCCACTATGGTAACATCTAACATTTAACATCTTTAAAAAATAACCTTTACTTTTACTCATAGTACACATTTGAATATATAATGATCAACAGTTAATTGTGAGTAAACATAATAAAATAACCTTTAAATGAACATTAACACATAGTCTCTTCTCAAACGACTTCATGTGGCTGCTATGTTGACACCCACATATCAACTTCAGCATTTAGTTTTAGAAGAGACACACACACAGTCTCAACTTGGCCTGCTGTTCTGCGTCTGCTGCGGGGGGGGGGATGTTGGTGATGCTGACCCTGAGGGCAATGCCTTTACCAGATACCCCCTCTCCCTTGTTTTCTCTCTGCCCCCCCCCTATCTTTTCTACCGAGGACAACTACATGCCGCGCATATTTCTTATTCAATCCTTTATTTTTTCTTTCATTTTTTTCATATGTGTTTTATTTTAAACTGGAACATTCCTTCTAGTGCATTGCCTGTGTTTGACTTTGGCCCCTTCTTGTCCTCAAAAGTGATTGATGCTAGCGGTCTGGGACGCACGCCACGGGAGTGGGGTGGGGGTGCTGGGGGGCACAAGCTTTCTTCCGTCACCTCCCTGAGCTGGACGCAGGGGGCAAGACAGGGGGCCAAAGGGCGGCCATCTTTTTCCCAAGCTTCTGGTTTGGTCTCTGGAGAGATGGAGGGGGCCTGAGTGTGCATGTGTGTGTGTGAGAGGGAGAGGGAGTCAGGATTTGATGAGATTTGCTGATGTTTGTTGCCAGAGACACACTCCTTTGGAGCCCTCTCTTCATTGCTCCCAGCGCTAAACCGTTGACATAAACATTGCTGAGTGGAAAAAAATGACCGAGCGCTGACCTTTTTTTTCTTCTTTCTCATCCTTTTCCTAAATCCTACACTATGCAGACAACAGGTCTAAGATCGTTTTAGCCACCTGGAGATGTTGTTAGAGTCATTTAATGTAGCTCTTGTTGGTAGTGTCACGAAGGTCTGTTCAGTTTTTTGTGTGGTATATGCCGTTATGAGTCTGAGCTAACGTTAAAAGCAGCCACATAACCTCTGACACAGTCCTCACACCCTGCAGCCGTTGCTTTGACTCATATCTCTCAAACTGAAACACGGCTTCAACTCAAATGTTCTGCACTTGCAATTTTTGCACAGCCATTCAATGTGTATATTATTAGAATATGGGGCTCCAACTATTTTAGCTTTTCTCCTGCTGTGAAAGTCATTGGGCCCGTCTGAAATGTCTACTTAGAAGTTACAAGTGTAAACCATTTATTAATTAACCAAAGAGGTTGTGCCGGTTTTTAATTATGAGTATTTGCTCATTAAGAGTGAGCAACTGCTTCATTTAAAAAAAAAAAAACTGGAAACATCTTAGCCAATCAACCTAAGATTTGCTATAATATATTAAAATGTATAACAAAATATCATTAATTTCAAACTTATCACATCGTATTCATTAAACCTGCTTACCTGATTTCTCTGGCCTGATTTGGGGCAGCATAACAGCACAAGATTGGCATATTGTCACCTGATGAATCTGCAAACTGTTGTTGACACATTTAGTAGTTATTTTTCAAATGGAGTCATTTGTGTGGCCACCTGATGAATGCAAGTCCAATATTTTCTCGATTTTGGTCTTTTTGAATGAAACCAGACTGAAATAAATATATTTTACTAGAACAAAAGTTCATTACATAAGTTCAGTAAAATGTATGAAAGATATTATAAACATAAAACCCATTATTTGTTGTATATAGCACCATACAGTATGTACATATTTAGTTGACATGTCTAACTTTCTCACACACTAAATCAACTGTCATCGGTATACGAGTTGATATATGTTATTTAACTTCTAAACTGGGTAGGTTACATAGGATTTTACAGCTCCAGTCACTTCTTGGAGAATGGATTGGGTGTTGTTAAAATGAAATGTGTTAGTGTGAGAAAGAAAGAGTACAGAGCAGATGTGAGGCGGGGATGTTGGATGTTAAAGGACCATCGCATGTTTGGCCCTGAGCCCAATGTCACACAGACTGCTTCCTGACAACAGCCATGCCACGGTGATGTTTACACTATCCCCGCTTACTCTTCACTATCCAACACTCACACTGTTGTAAACTCCCATTGTGGAAATCCATGTGTATATGTGTGGGAAAAAACGGTATTGGGGTGTATTTCTGTGCAATCTCATTGAAAACCAGGCGCAGGTAACACACATTCATACACACTCCACAAACATCCTGCAGTGATGCACACTCCACATATTCATTCATTAAATTCACACCCTGCACTCTGGTGTGTATTGTGTTACAGCATCCTCCCATTCAGAGTTAAGCAGGCACACACACACACAGAGAGAGACACACACATACACTCCCAGGCACTCATGAGTTCACTGTACATTTAAACATGCCCTCCCATTCAGTACACGCAGACACAGCTGTGATCTGGCACTCAGGGACCATTGGCCTGTGTTTTATTTGATGTGATTTGACAGCTGGACAGTTGGAAGAGGAGGGGAACGGGGTGGAAAGCAGCGAGGAGTGGGCGGAATACAGTTTGAGGAGAGAAGACGGATAAGTCACAGGACTGGGGTTGGTGGGAGGAGAGGAGGGGAGGGGAGGGAGGGAGGATCTGGGATGTGGAGCCTTGAGGGGTGGGAGACGGGGGGCTTCGCCTCTGATGAGGGGCACGTCCTCACGGGCGCAGGCCCATTTTTTATTTCTAAAAGTAAACAGGCAGCCTGCGGGGGTCTGGGGGGTTATGGGAAAGGAGGAAATAGTGATGCTAATCAGGCCGGCGCACACTTCCCCCTCCAACAATAAAACAAAACAAGAGGGAAACACGGAAAAGCGACAGACAACTATGGAGGAATGGGCTTCAACGCTGCCATGGTCCTAGATTTGAACTGCATAGTGTGATGACAGTTCTGTAGCAAGGGGTGTTAGTCAATAAACAGAGGAAAGAAGCAATCTGTTACTACTACCTCGTGCATTTGTTCATGTTGAAGTCATTTTAAACAGCTGAACTTTGAGTTTCCACATTAGACTTCTGAGAAGTGGTAGCTGTGAAATCGGCATTTACAGTTGAGTCACTCTGGCATTTCTACCCCAAAATGTTAATACTCCTGACCTTAAGACATATTTAAGTGTTTTCCTTTGCTAAAAGTTGTACCCTGCTTCAAGAAAGACGGCTCACTTTCATGCTGCCATGTTTAACGATCTAATACGATGCTCTGCTCCAAAGCATCATCCAAAATTTCCGACAGTTAAACTTCCCTTTCCCAGAGTTCAAGGAGTTTTATTTCGAGCAAGTGATAATGTGTGGTAAGTTCCTCTTGATAGCTTGGTGACTAATTACAAACCACTTCAGTTTGAGAACAAATCGTTCTAAAACACATGCAATCACTGACGGGTGATGATGCAACAGATGCCAGCTCATCAGGAAAGGTGGCGCTTTAATGAATCCTAAGAGAGGCCTCCCATTGTTTTAATGTTTATATCATGAGTATAGCAGTAGTCACAGACTGTTAGCTGTAATGAGTGTACACCGGTGATGGTAAGAGTGAATACCTCTGACTGTGTGTGAAGTGCGTTCATAGTTGAATTCATGAACATAGTTGAGTCCATCCTATTGTATGTAAAGGTCAATATCTCCCTAAAAGCACTCAAAATAATGGACATTTATTCACCAAAACACAACAAACTGCAGCTGTATAATCACATCTGTATCATTAATATTTTTCAGAGTGTACTGTTCTAATTATTATGATGTACAACCATTATATTCAATGACAAATTAATCTAAACTGCAGACAGATGTGTTTTCCCCTCAGTCTTAGTATTAGCTTTATCTGAGAGCGTGGTGGTAACAGAGAGGAGGGAGGGCAAGATGAGAGGAGGGAGGTCTGGGAGGCAGAGAGACTCGGAGGGGGGTGGGGATAATTGAATTATCTGCACAATGGAGTGATGGGGGGCACGTGGTGCCGCTAATGGAGGAAGAGATGTCCTTTTTAGCGGAGCTAATTGTTCAGAAAAGAGCTGAGCCTTTGTTCAGGGAGGCCCTGCTACTTTCCCAGTGCACTTACATGCACACAATTTAAAGAGCGTGCACACAAAGACACTTGCACTCACTGACACACACACACACGCACGCACGCACATACACACACACACACACGCACGCACGCATGCACGCACGCACGCACACACATACACACACACACATACACACACACACACGCTCTCAGAAGAGACTTTGGAATGTGAGGCAAAAGAGAAAGATGAACATGAGCACAGTACACACATGCATGAGCACACACATACTTAGTGATACTCCTGTCCCAGCTTACTCTCTGATCTCAGCAGGAGTGCATCCAGCCTGTGGCACCTTCAGGCTGCTTCCACCACAGATAGAGCTGACACTGAGCTACTAGACAGGGGCCACATTGGACCCCACTGTTTTACTGTTTTACTGTCTGCTCTCTCTGTCTCACTTTCAGTGTGTGTGCGTGTGTGAGCGTGTCAATCAGCCATCTGAGCGTCTACTAGTGTCTGTAAATGAGTGACTGAGAGATTACATGCTGAATTCACACATACCAAACCCACCATATCCACTTTCTGAGATGTTTTATAGTTTATGTCAGCTAGGTCATCATTTCAGATTTTAGGTTTGTAAATGAGAATGAAAGCATCAGGCTGAAATGGAAATACTCTTGTGACTTGCTGCGAGGGCACAGGCATCAAAGACCGATATCACTTGACAGCTGTATGGATTGCTCTAAATCGAATAACCTTTCAGTTAACTCTGTGAAAAGTAGCAGGTGCAACGGTTACATCTAGGGATTATAGACAGGCAGACAACACAGATGTGCCAGCGAGACACAGACAGCGAGCAGGAGAGAGAAAGCTGCTTTAGAAAAGGGTGCTATGTTGCAACACAAAATGAGTGAAGCCAGCTAACTGTCA